AGGTGTAAACTAAAGTTTAGTTCTTGTCCAGTGGAGTAGGTGTGAGCTAAAGTTTAGTTCTTGTCCAGTGGGGTAGGCGTAAAGTAAAGTTTTGTTCTTGTCTAGTGGTGTAGGTGTAAACTAAAGTTTAGTTCTTGTCCAGTGGAGTAGGTGTGAGCTAAAGTTTAGTTCTTGTCCAGTGGGGTAGGTGTAAAGTAAAGTTTTGTTCTTGTCTAGTGGTGTAGGTGTAAACTAAAGTTTAGTTCTTGTTTACAGTGGGGTAGGTGTAAAGTAAAGTTTAGTTCTTGTTTACAGTGGGGTAGGTGTAAAGTAAAGTTTAGTTCTTGTTTACAGTGGGGTAGGTGTAAAGTAAAGTTTAGTTCTTGTTTACAGTGGGGTAGGTGTAAAGTAAAGTTCAGTCCTTGTTCACAGTGGTGTAGGTGTAAAGTAAAGTTTAGTCCTTGTTCACAGTGGTGTAGGTGTAAAGTAAATTTTAGTACTTGTTTACAGTGGGGTAGGTGTAAAGTAAATTTTAGTACTTGTTTACAGTGGGGTAGGTGTAAAGTTTAGCCCTTGTTCACAGTGGTGTAGGTGTAAAGTGAAGTTTAGTCCTTGTTCACAGTGGTGTAAGTGTAAAGTAAAGTTTAGTACTTGTTTACAGTGGGGTAGGTGTAAAGTAAAGTTTAGTCCTTGTCCAGTGGGGTACGTGTAAAGTTTAGTCCTTGTTCACAGTGGTGTAGGTGTAAACTAAAGTTTAGTCCGTGTCCAGTGAGGTACGTGTGAACTAAAGTTTAGTTCTTGTCCAGTGGGGTAGGTGTAAAGTTTAGTCCTTGTTCACAGTGGTGTAGGTGTAAACTAAAGTTTAGTCCTTGTCCAGTGAGGTACGTGTGAACTAAAGTTTAGTTCTTGTCCAGTGGGGTAGGTGTAAAGTTTAGTCCTTGTTCACAGTGGTGTAGGTGTAAACTAAAGTTTAGTCCTTGTCCAGTGAGGTGTAGGTGTAAAGTTTAGTCCTTGTTCACAGTGGTGTAGGTGTAAACTAAAGTTTAGTCCTTGTCTAGTGGGGTACGTGTAAAGTTTAGTCCTTGTTCACAGTGGGGTAGGTGTAAAGAGTTTGCCTGAGCATGAACAGCTTGGTTGTCTACCTTATTTCAGTGTCATCGGAGTCGTTCAGATGGTCAACAAAGAAAGTGGACCTTTCACGAAAGCTGACGAAGAAGCCTTTGCCACGTTTGCTACTTATTGTGGACTCGCTCTTCATCATGCCAAGGTAGGGCTCGAAAATATGTCACTTCTGATAAAGTTTCGTGTCAAGCTAGGGCTCGTTAAACAAGCTTAAAATCTCTTGGAACGTATAAACGAAAATAAAAGTTTGATGCTGGTGGTTAGGGGGCGCTCGACTCGCAATCTGTGAGTCGCAAGTTTGAATCCTGTCACCGAACGTGCTCGCTCTTTTCAGGCGTGGGAGCGTTATAATGTGATGATGAATCCCACCTTTTTCATTGGTAAGAGGTAGCCAAAGAGTATGCAGTGGGTGCGTTATAAGAGTAATAGTCAATTCCTTAGCGTCGATGGTAGGTGGTAGATTTTGGCGAACCGGGTTCGAAACTGTGCGATACCAGAAACTATTCCCCACTCTCTGATATCCTGTGGGTGCGTTATAATAGTAATAATCACTTCCTTAACGTGAATAGAGGGTTTAGGGTGCTGATAACTGGCTTCTTTCCATCTGACCAGTAGTTCAAAATTAGGGACAGCAACGGATATTCTTATATAGTGGTTTTTGCCATAAAAACAAAATAACAAAAATATATTTTAAAATACGCAAATAACTATATATATATATATATATAATAATTATATTATTTTTTTTTGTTTAAAGGTAACAGTTAATTAAACAGTTGATTACGTTTTGCTTTCCAGTTGTACGATAAAATACGTCGTTCCGAACAGAAATACAAGGTGGCGCTAGAAGTTCTATCTTACCATAGCACGTGCACGGAAATGGAAGTCAACGAGATTAAGCATTCTCCTCCTTTACCAAGCGCGCAGTCGTTGGTCGAGTAAGTTTTCCTGTATTTGTTTGCTATTTACTGACCTCTCTGACGTCATCAGTAGTGTAATAATATAGAGAAAACAAGAAATATAGCCAACGTTTTCTAACGGGTAAGTTTGTTTAAATATCATAACCTTAGTACTTATCATATGCGTGTAAAGAAATAAGATTCTTTATACCTCAATTCTAACAACTATTGTCGTTGAACGTCATACGTACCTCAATTCTAACAACTATTGGTCGTTGAACGTCATACGTACCTCAATTCTAACAACTATTGGTCGTTGAACGTCATACGTACCTCAATTCTAACAACTATTGGTCGTTGAACGCCATACGTACATCAGTTCTAACAACTATTGGTCGTTGAACGCCATACGTACCTCAGTTCTAACAACTATTGGTCGTTGAACGTCATACGTACATCAGTTCTAACAACTATTGGTCGTTGAACGTCATACGTACATCAGTTCTAACTATTGGTCGTTGAACGCCATACGTACCTCAATTCTAACAACTGTTGGTCGTTGAACGCCATACGTACCTCAATTCTAACAACTATTGGTCGTTGAACGTCATACGTACATCAGTTCTAACAACTATTGTCGTTGAACGCCATACGTACCTCAATTCTAACAACTATTGGTCGTTGAACGCCATACGTACATCAATTCTAACAACTATTGTCGTTGAGTTTCCGAATTTTCTTTTTCTAAAAAATTCATCTTGTTTCAAGTTTATACCTTTTGTTCTTCTATGACCGTCTTAAACATCTAGTATAACTATGACCGTCTTAACATCTAGTATAATTATGACCGTCTTAAACATCTAGTATAATTATGACCGTCTTAAACATCTAGTATAATTATGACCGTCTTAACATCTAGTATAACTATGACCGTCTTAACATCTAGTATAATTATGACCGTCTTAACATCTAGTATAATTATGACCGTCTTAACATCTAGTATAATTATGACCGTCTTAAATATCTGTTACAGCTGTGACCGTCTTAAACATCCAGTATAACTGTTACCGTCTTAACTGTGGCCGTCTTAAACATCTGTTACAGCTGTGACCATCTTAAACATCTAGTATAACTGTTATCGTCTTAAACATCTGTTACAGCTGTGGCCATCTTAAACATTTAGTATAACTGTGGCCGTCTTAAACATCTGTTACAGCTGTGACCATCTTAAACATCTAGTATAACTGTTACCGTCTTAAACATCTGTTACAGCTGTGGCCATCCTAAACATTTAGTATAACCGTGACCGTCTTAAACATCTGTTACAGCTGTGACCGTCTTAAACACCTATTGTAGTTGTCACTGTTTTTGTAACTACTTAACCACCTACTGTGGCTAAACGTCTAGTTTATAGATAGCTAACATACGTTATTAATTAAATAATTCCGTTTGTAACATGTTTCATTCATTTCTTGAACAGATTCCACTTTTCTCCGTTTTCTCTGGATTCTGAGCAGAAAGTTTCTGCCGCCATATATATGTTCATTGATCTTTTCGGGCTTCAGAGGTGAGTATGGAGATATACGATACCGCAATATGGCGTTAAACCTTTGATAAGATCGGTTTTAACAATCTTAAGATGAGTATTGTACTCCCGAAACACTATGAGTTTGATTCCACTACTGATAACGACACTATCAGTTTAAAGTTTGATTCCACTACTAATAACGACACTATCAGTTTAAAGTTTGATTCCACTACTGATAACGACACTATCAGTTTAAAGTTTGATTCCACTACTGATAACGACACTATCAGCTTAAAGTTTGATTCGACTACTGATAACGACACTATCAGCTTAAAGTTTGATTCCACTACTGATAACGACATTATCAGCTTAAAGTTTGATTTTAGTTGTTTTTTCTATTTGTAATAGATACTATAAATATATAAAATAATAGCATATTGTTTACTACAAGAGAACCAATAACAGATCTTAACAAACGAACGCAGTGCGCGGTAATAGCATACCGCGCACTGCGTTCGTTTGTTAAGATGTGTTATTGGTTCTCTTGTAGTAAACAATATGCTATTACCGAGCACCGTGTTCATTTGTTAAGATCTGTTATTGGTTCTCTTGTAGTTAACAATATGCTATTACCGCGCACTGCGTTCGTTTGTTAAGGTCTGTTGTTGGTTCTCTTGTACTTAACAATATGCTATTACCGCGCACTGTGTTCATTTGTTAAGATCTGTTATTGGTTCTCTTGTAGTAAACAATATGCTATTACCGAGCACCGTGTTCGTTTGTTAAGATCTGTTATTGGTTCTCTTGTAGTAAACAATATGCTATTACCGAGCACCGTGTTCATTTGTTAAGATCTGTTGTTGGTTCTCTTGTAGTTAACAATATGCTATTACCGCGCACTGTGTTCGTTTGTTAAGATCTGTTGTTGGTTCTCTTGTACTTAACAATATGCTATTACCGCGCACTGTGTTCGTTTGTTAAGATCTATTGTTGGTTCTCTTGTACTTAACAATATGCTATTACCGCGCACTCCGTTCGTTTGTTAAGATCTGTTGTTGGTTCTGACAGGTTCGATCAGGACTGTTTGATTCGATTCACCCTAACAGTGAGGAAGAACTATCGAAGAGTACCGTACCACAACTGGGAACATGGATTTAGTGTGGCTAATTCCATGTACGCCATCATTAAAAGTTCACCGGAAGTTTTCACACCTTCAGAGGTTGGTGTCACTGGTTGATTAGCTTGTAATAGCCATCTGGTGGGAACAGTCGTCACGTCTTAAGGCCCAGAAACTTTAAAGGGATTACTAGTGTGTTTTGATCCATATACATCCGCCAGAGGGATAGTTTTTGAACACGGATTATATATATATATATAATACATGCTAAAGAGAATCAATACAGTTCTAGCTTGATCTCAATCTCCTCTTAACGTGTTTTTTTGTGTGAAAACTATGATAATAGTCACTAAATAAACATTAGTAATTAGTACTCTAATTATTAATCATTAGGATTATTATAGCTGGTCATCATCTTTTAACAAAACCTCTGGTCCGTTTTTATTTACCCATAACTCCGTTTGTTTTTTTATTTTATTTTAATTTGATTTGCCAAACCTGACGACTGTTTTCCGAAAAGAAAAAAAAAGAATTCAAAAGGTTATAAGTTTACAGAAGTGTGTTTGGAGTAATTACGTTTCTCGGTAATCATTTTTTTACAGAAACTGGCGCTTTTCGTTGCCTGTTTGTGCCACGATCTGGACCACAGGGGGAAAAACAACCAGTTTCTTGTGAAGTCTGCCTCTCCCCTCGCGGCGATATACACCACATCTACTTTGGAGCATCACCATTTTAACCAAACCGTCTCAATTCTTCAGGTAACCAGAAATCACTCTCTGTGTCGTATCTAACATACTCAGTTTAACAGACTCTGCTGGACTATTCCCGTTTATTGACTCGTTTACCGCAGAAGAGTTTGTTTTTTGGGTGAATTTAGTAATTCTTGTCGGTTAGTTGGTTAAATCAGTAGGTTATCTGAATTAAGGTTTAATGAATATTTATGTTTAATCCTTTGCTTACCGGATTCTTAATGCTGATTACTGGATCAAGATGTGTTTCGTGATCTCTGACCTGGTCAAATCGATCAAGATGTGTTTCGTGAACTCTGACCTGGTCAAATCCAACATAATGTTAATTATTGTATCAAGATATGTTTCGTGAACTCTGAACTGGTCAAACACATCAAAATGTTAATTATTGTATCAAGATATGTTTCGTGATCTCTGACCTGGTCAAAGCAAGCATAATGCTGATTAATGGATCAAGGTGACGTTTTTTAACTCTGACCTGGTCAAATCCAGCATAATACTAATTATTGGCTCAAGATGTGTTTCGTGATCTCCGACCTGGTCAAAGTCAGCATAATGCTAGTTAATGGATCAAGATGTGATTTTTGATCTCTGACCTTGTCAAAGTCAGCATAATGCTAGTTATTGTATCAAGATGTGTTTCGTGATCTCTGACCTGGTCAAAGCCAGCATAATGCTGATTAATGGATCAAGATGTGTTTTGTGAACTCTGACCTGGTCGAATAAGGGTTAAACTAGATACAATAGAACTCTTCATTGTCTGGTGTTGTTTTCTATTAATATATAGTTTGTTTGTTTTGTCTACAGCAAGAGGGACACAACATCTTTAAGAACCTGACTTCTGATGAATATAAAAAAGTAAGTATTGGCTTCTTTCAACCAATCTTATTGTTTTATTTCAGTTTTACGTGTAACGTGGATAAGTATTGGCTCCTTTCAACCAATCTTATTAATGTTTTATTTCTGTTTTACGTGTAACGTGGGTAAGTATTGGCTCCTTTCAACCAATCTTATTAATGTTTTATTTCTGTTTTACGTGTAACGTGGGTAAGTATTGGCTCCTTTCAACCAATCTTATTAATGTTTTATTTCTGTTTTACGTGTAACATGGGTAAGTATTGGCTCCTTTCAACCAATCTTATTAATGTTTTATTTCTGTTTTACGTGTAATATGGTTACTGACGACAGATAACATGCACGACAAAACAGAGATGTTTTAATTTTATATAACTCTGCCAAAAGAGGTGTTTTGTTCATGTTGTATTCGTTATTGAAGTATATGTTTTGTTCATGTTGTATTTCGTTATTGAATTAGACGTTTCGTACGTTTGTAATGTCCAATTACGAAATAACTTTTATTTTGTCGTCTCCACTAAATAAGTTTTATTTTGTCGTC